TATGAGAATGATGATGATTCTTAGTTTGGCCTCCGTGTCCTTGGGCGAGTACCCTCCCCTCTCAGGGCTTCTATTTCCTTCTGTCTCCATGGGCCTGTCGGTCTGAAGTTCAGTGATCTTTGCCCCACTCACCTGGGCAGACAAACTGGGGCCTTTTGCTTTCCGCATGATGGTCATCCCCATCTTGCCAATTAGGAAAAGAACAAAGATGAGACAGCTGTTAGGCAGGAGTCAGGTCCCTGGTCATCGCTCCGTCTTTCCTGTCTCTGAGAACCTGAGGGCAGTTACACAGCTGGCAGACGTGGGATTCGAGGTACAGCACCCGTGCTAGCAACCGCAGGGACCTTGCCTGGCCAGGGACCTCCCCGCCCCTCACGTACCAAGTGCCCCCTGGGCTGGGGGACAGCACCGCTGATGCCCGGTGATGAAGAGGGAACGGCCTCCCTTCCCCCAGCTCTGCTTTGTCCTCTTCAAGTCAGCAGGCTACGGTCCTGGGAGTCTCCGGAATCATCCGAGACTCTAGTCTCAGTCTAGTTTCCGTCTTGTGTGGCACGGAAGCAGCTTTGGCTTCGGGTTGAGATTCCAGATCTCAAGTGGTGATCAAGGTGCACCCCGAGAGGGGAGACACACACCTGGGCCACCTCCCCATCCATCTCCCTCTTCTGGAGGGAAACCTTCTTCCCTCTCTGTGGATCAGCATTTTGGCATCACTGAAAGAGTTCCATGAGCAGGTAGCTTGGGCACTTACTTAAAAATGGAGAAATGAAGAGCAAATCCACATGCTCCGTGAAGTTGATAATAGAACATCTCAGAAAGTAGGCCGGGCCCGGTGGCTCACGCCTGTAATCCTAGCACTCTGGGAGGCTGAGGCAGAAGGATCGCCCAAGGTCAGGAGTTCAAAACCAGCCTGAGCAAGAACGAGACCCCGTCTCTACTAAAAATAGAAAGAAATTAATTGGCCAACTAAAAATATATAGAGAAAAAATTAGCTGGGCATGGTGGCACATGCCTGTAGTCCCAGCTACTCAGGAGGCTGAGGCAGGAGGATCGCTGGAGCCAGGAAGTTTGAGGTTGCTGTGAGCTTTAGGCTTGACGCACCGGCACCTCCTAGCCCGGCACAGAAGGTGAGAACTATGTCCCTCAAAAAAAAAAAGAAGGTACATTACAGGGTTCCACAGGCTAGTCCATCACTGTGCTCTCACTTAAAGCCACTTTCTTTGCCAGTAGACCAGGCCATCACTCCAAGACAATGTTGGCAATTTCGTTGAGAGCCCAAAAACGGTATACCAGGCCAGGGCACACATGTCATGAAGGCAAAGCCGCCATATCTTAGATAATCCCTCTTTTCATCAAAGATACGTAGAGAGATTCCTTCTACCCCAATATGAAAACTTTGTTCCCTGCTTTCCAGCTTATAGCCGTGTAATTTGCTGGGTAACAAAATGTATGTTCTTTCTACTTAATGTTCTTTGGCCCAATTCCATTCCTCTGCTCCTGAGGCTTGTAAAGTGGAAGAGAGTAGCCCTTCCAGGCAAGGAGTAGTCTATCTCCCATCCTATTATCCGTCTCCCTCCCCAAGGTCAGGGAATCAAGAAGTCAGGGGAAGCCTTCCCCCCTGCGGGGCTCTTCCAGAAGGACACGCACCTCCATAGCTCGTGCCGGGCTTCTGGGCCAATTTCCTCATCTTCTCATTCATCCAGGGTATACTTACGAGTCCGCGTTTTCTGTCGAGTCCTGTTTTAGGCACTGAGAGTACAACAGTGATTAGGACAGGAAAAGTCACTGCTGTTGTAGAATTTACGTTCCAGTCTCAGTATGTCCAGAGACAGAGTAAAATGGAGGGACTTCTGCCACGTAGCTCTCAGAAGCCCACGGGGAAATGGGCTTGGTCCATCAACGCTGGTCAGAGCAGAATGTCTCTAGGGAAAATGAACCCATCTTTCAAACCGATTTCAAACCCCAAGTGTTTTGTTCAAACAAGAAGGCATCGTCCTCACCACGTGTGAGTGCCTGGCTGCGGAGCCGCCAGCCCAGGGTGCCATCAGAGGCTATAATTACCATTGTTTCTCTCTGCGTAATTAAAGGTGCTGTTAGTGACCCGGTTAAGGAACCTTTTTCAGGGGCTCCTTTGCCTTGAACAGCAATCCCTTTGAAATGTAGCACACACTGCCAGCAGAATCAGAGCCACCCTGGGAAAGACCCAGCCTCAAGTTCCCAGGGGGGACTCGAGACGACAACCTGGGTCTGGTTTAGAGCAGAATTAATTCCAGCTTAGTAGTCAAAGGGTATCTTTGAAAAAACTCTGTGTCAGAACTTCCGTTCCCACTAGAAGCCCTTGACTATGATAGCTTTCTTTCCCCTTTTCCAACACAGCCCATCCGAGCAATATTTTAACGGATCAAAAGAGGGACGGCCATCCGCTCCCCCTGCCCGAACAGATGGAAATGCAAGAGCTCAGGGTCCTGTCCCTGACGTTTCCCAGACAGGGGGGTGTCCCAGGTGTGGGGACTCTCCCTGTCTTTCCCTTGATGTGGAAGGCCAGGCATGGCAGTGTGCTTTGGGGCGCGCCATCTGCACTTCAAAAGCCCTGACATCTGAGGCCAGCTGCTCCCGACCTCCCCCAGACGTGGGTGCTGGGGTGCGAGCGAGCCCCGTGCTGCACGTGCTCTTTGCTGCCTGCGGAGGGGGATGAAGCAGAGGAGGGAAGGACGGGGTCAGGCCCCTTCACGCCCTCTGCTTCCACTCTGAAGAACAGGAGCAGCTGATCTTTAGTCCCAGAAAGGACTTCAGAAATCACGCAATCCAGACTCCGTTTTCACTGACATGGTGACAAAAAAGCTCAGAAAGGGGCGCCGTGACTTGCCAGAGGTCTCGCAGATAACCAGTGGTGCCAAAGCAGACCCAATAATAATGATAACAGCAACTGACATTGCCAAGCTCTTAGCCTGTGCCATGCGTTCTTCTAAATAATTCTTATGCGTTTAATGCATTAACTTGCTTCGCCTTCATCACAAAACCAGGCTGTGAAATAAGGATTGTTATTTTCCCCCATTTTACAGATGGGGGAAACTGAGGCACAGGGAAATACGGATGAAATGATAGAACCAAGGTGCAAATAGAGGCAGCAGGCTATAATTACCATTGTTTCTCTCTGCGTAATTAAAGGTGCTGTTAGTGACCTGGTTAAGGAATCCTTTTCAGGGGCTCCTTTGCCTTGACAGCATCCCTTGAAATGTAGCACACACTGCCAGCAGAATCAGAGCCACCCTGGGAAAGACCCAGCCTCAAGTTCCCAGGGGGGACTCGAGGCGACAACCTCGCTCTCAGCCTCACCAGCCTCCCGTTCCTGAGCGGAGGCTCACGCGGAGGCTGTCTGGTGCTGCCCCTCCCTCAAAACCACAAAGATTTTCCCAGTTCGGAACAAAGCCGGAATCACCACCCCGTCTGGGACAGTGTTCCAGCTGGCATTTTAGTGGAAGTCATCATCTCCCTGGCACTTTCCATGGTCTCCTTTAGATCCACTAGCACGACACGGGCGACTTTGAAGTCCTCACGCCTGGACAGGAAGATTTTCTCAAACGTCCCAGCTGAGAGGCTATCTCCGAGTCTTTGTTTTGTGTGTGTGTGAGTGAGGTCAAGGGAAGTGAGGAGCTTTGGTCTTTGGGCTGGCAGTTTCTGGGGAGGTGACATTCTGAGTTAAGCCAGTGGCGTCAATCAGGGTCCCTACGGAAGGCTCACTCCCGGGGCCTATTAGACATGAAGCACAGGACCCTCCTCTAAGCCTCAGTGTCCAAACGAGGACTTGCCCCGGGCACGGTTGGTTCCCCTGATTCAACCTCTGTGGTTAGACTCACTGTGGCTTCCCAGACTCTGTTACTCCAGTGAATGGGGCCATGGGGCCAAACTAAAAATCGTCTCTTCCCTGCACATACTTTTCATGTCTTATATTTAATCCACATCCAAGAGCCCCATCCAGTGGCCCCACGTCCTACCAACGAGAGTTCTTGCAGAGGTGGCCTGAGCGTGGTCTCAGCCTGGCTCTTTGCTGTGGGAGGGGGCGTGGAACGACATTCAGTGGCCGTCGGGTCGGGTTTCCCTTTTGGACCATAACATCCACACTTGAAAAAGTAACCACGTGTTCGAGAGTCTTGCCTCACTTTGAGGTAGCAGTCAATAGCACAAAAATGTCTTTAAAATGTTTGATTTTACTGCATGTATTCGAGATTTGATGAGAGCACCAGGGAAAGTGATTCAGATTCTGGGTGACTTGTTGACTCTTGAGTTAAGTTGCCAATGGGAGCGTTTATCTGTGTTCGGCTTCCTGAATAAGCTTCGTGAGTACCGTTCGCTTGGGTTTCTATCACTTTGCTGTACATTCACAGTGGTTCTCACCTCAACCAGAATCAAGAGCTGATCCCAAAATATGTAGTAACTTATTTGCCTTTTTTTTTTGTCTAATGAGATCAGTTTTATTTGCATGTTCTTTGGACACAAAACCCATTTGGGAATGCCTCGGGTCTCGCTTCTGATGGCTGTATGGACACCTTGACAACATTGACACCCCAGATGGGGAAATTCTGCCACCTTTTTTCCCTCCCTCCTGGTTGTGAAAGGCCTAAAGCTGTGTGTGCACTTAGCATTCAATTGCCAGAACCCCCAGGGGCACCTGCGGAAGTAGTCCCCGTGCGTGCTCTCTGGACTCCGGTGGCGTGTTTTCCTATGTGATGGACCGTGAGGGCTCCTCCGTCTCTGAAAGACTGTGACGATGAGATGGCAGAGCCGGTGGAGCCATGCAGAAACAGTGAGGTCAGGTCAGAATCTCTCCTCTTTGCCGAATAGTTGGCCAGTGGCACCTGTGTCTCGCAGGTGAGGGGAGATGTCGGTGGCGATAATTTTGCAGATAGCTTAACAGGCCATGCTGCATCCTTTGGACACTGGCTAAGGGCGCGGAAGCCTGGCAGACGTTGCCGTGAACTGACCGCTGTGTCCTGGCCCCACAGGCCCCCACTCGGAGCCGCCGTCCTGCAATGCCAACGCCATCTCCTGCCCCTCGCCCTGCACCTGCAGCAACAACATCGTGGACTGTCGAGGGAAGGGCTTGACGGAGATCCCTGCCAACCTGCCAGAGGGCATCGTCGAAATGTAAGTGCCACCCCTCCGTCCGTGGGGAGTTCATCCTCTGTCCCAGCTGATCGCCCGCTGGGCTGCCAGCGTGTTGGCTGTTGGGGCTGACCATTAAAAACCTGTGCTCCCGGGCGTGCCTGGGCATGACAGCTCAGTGGTCAAGACCACAGACTCAAGAACAAAGTCTGCAAGCTACAGCCCGTGGGCCAAATACTCGCCCCAACAATTTTTGCGAATAAAGTTTTATTGGAAGACCTCCACAGCCGTTGCGTGGGACCTGTTTATGGCTGCTCTGGTGTGGCAGCACTGAGTAGATGCAGCAAAGGACAGTGTGGCCCACAAGGCCTACAGTGTGTTGTATCTGGCCCTTTTTAGTGAGTTAGCCAATCCCTGCCTTGGAGCCTGGCTCTACCATCTACCAACTGTGTGACTTCAGGTAGAATGATTTCTCTTTCGCCTTTAGTTTCCTCACCCATGCTATTGTGATGGTTATAGTATCACACCTCTATGGGTCACTGTGAAGGCGAAGCGAAATGCCCGTGTGAAGCGCTTAGTGCAGTCCTCAGCCCGAGGGTGCGTGCTCTGGGTGGCGGTGGTGAGTAAATGAATGATGAGCTGACTTCATCCCCTCCCCCAGAGGGGGACAAGTTCCTAATCATTTCAAATCTGACTTTTGTCCTCTAGATCAGACCTTTAGGTAAAGAGACGAGATTGCGCGTGTCTGTGCGTATGTACAGCTGTCAAAAATTTTAGTAAAATTTGTCCGCGTAGCTCAGTCTTTTCCGTTCTTCTCCCTTACATTAGGAAATGGCCAGTGTCTCATTCTGGAATGAGTAGAGGGTCGGTCAGTGTTGAGCTCAAGATCAGTCTTTAAATGACAGCAGTTGTTTTCATCTTCTCTCTTCACCTTTAGATGGCTCCATTAAAACCATCATTGTGTGGAGCCCTTCTACTGAAAACATCCTTAGAGAAGATAAAAGATACAGGTTTCCCTCCCTCTCTGCTTCATCCTCCTCCTCCCCCACTCCTCCTCCTCCTCCTCTTCCTCTCCCTTCTCTTCCTCCCCCTCCTTGTGGCCTTCTGTTCCCAACTCATCCCGATAGATATCCACTGGCTCTTCCATCGAGTTGTGTGTTCATTCAGCAAATGTCCATTCTGAACCCACTGTGTCCCAGCCACGAAGTGGCCATGTGGAGTATTTTAGGTAGCAAGACTAGCATGTGCAAAGGCCCTGAGGCAGCAGTGTGCCTGCTGTACCAGAAGGCCGGTGAGGCTGGAGTAGAGGAAACCAACGGGACCATACCAGGGGATGAGGTCCGGGAGATAAAACGAGGGGCCAGATCCTGGGGCATTGTACGGAGTTTGGTTTTGCGCTGATTGAGAGGGGAAGAAACATATGACTGATCAAGTGGAGTCTTAGTTTCTTCTTTCTTCACCTACTTTGCCAGCTTCTTTCTGATTCCCTTTAACACACTCTTCCCAGCCCCAGTGGACACAGTCCGTGCCTCCATGCCCTTGCTGGAGGCAGGAGGCTGGCCAACAGAGAGTCCCTCTTGCCTGCCGTCCACACCCTCTGTGGCCTTCCTCCATCTGTGCTCGCAGTCCTCAGTCGTCTTTTCCACGAGCACCAAGAATTTGTTCCCCTGGTGTCTCGTTGTGACTCTCCTTCAGTCCCCTTGGTCCGGTGCTCTAGCTCTGCAGAGCTCTCTCCGTGGATCCGCTTAGACTGCACCCAGCCTCCTGCTCCTCCCCTGCTTCCCTCCCTCCCTCCCTCTGCCATTTTTCCTCTGCCCTTTCTGCACTGTGTCCCCCCATCACTTCCTCCTTCCCTTGGTGCATTTCCCCTCTCCCTTGCCCTACCACGGTCTCCTGCTTCACCTCCCACCCGTCTCTTTCTCTACCCAGCTAACCCTCTGCTGCCCTCCCAGGAGCCCTCCCTCCCATCCCCACCCACGCCAGGGTGGGCTTTGTCCCTGCCACCCCGGATGTCCTAGACAGAACCCCTGCCGGCCCTCACCTCATTGCAGATTCCCATAGTTCCTTGCTTGCTTTCTCTGCCCACCTCGTTCTTTTCTCCCTCCATCTGCCAGGTTTTATCTTTTCTCTCTGGCAGCCTCAGACCTTCCCTTGGCCGGGTTCCAAACCACAGTCTAATAAAAGAGTCCAGTCCAGGTCGTAGCCAGTGACCCCAAGCCCAGCCTGATGTGGGAGCCCCACCCCCATCACATCTCTATACCCCCGGCTCGGGCCTCGTGGGTACATAGCTCAGCTCTCTGGGAGACAGAAACTTCTGATATCCTCGTCAGAGGTGCGCCGGGCCTCTGTGCAGGTCAGACCATACCTGGACTTTTGGGCTCACACCTGGACATTTTATTTTAAAAGCAACAACAGCAAACTAGGGTGTAACTGGCAAAAGGCTATCTGATTACTACCAAGTGTTTCTTTACATGGTAAAGGTAAAGCGAGAAAAACAAGAATAATGTGACATTTTTCCATTGAGCAAAAACATTCAGTCTAAAAGAATGTCCTTTATCTTATAAAATGATAGCCACTGAATACAGATATGTCTGTGTATGTGTTATATGTATGTAATTAAATACCTAATTGTTGTATGATTATAAATTTATATGTACTCTATGATATTAATATTATATAACACACACAGAGATTGCTATAATTGGCAAAATAAAAGGTCTGTAACCACCTAGCCTATGAAATCCAAAGTCTGGGAATGACCATCCTAGCTAGAATGTTTTCAGAAATAAGTAGCCACAAACAGCAACCAGGCGGTTAAGAGTGTAGACTACAGCTTCGGGCAGACGCACATTCTAGCTCTGGCCCTGCCTGGTAGCCGCCGGCAAACAGCTTTTCTGAGCCTTGGTTTCCCCAGCTGAAAAATGCAGAGGCCGCTGGAGCCTCCGTAATGGTTCTTATGAAGGTATAAAGTAAAGTGCTCGGCATTGTGTCTGGCACAAATGGTATAGGATGTCAGCAAAGGCTATTGTTATGTTACGACAGTGACTGCTACAACTGTTAACCACCGCTTTTATTAGAGATTGTGACAATGGTTAGAAATCACGTCCTAGGAGCTGGAGCTACCTACACAAAAGATTCTTTCCAAAAGATAGGTCAGTTCTTGGAAGGGTTGTGGCTGAGAGACGAGGTTCTAGGACGAGGCTAGCCACTTGCATTGTGACTGGAACCCGGGAGGAGCTCATCTTCATGCAAATGTATTCAGACATGGAAATGAGGCTGCCCCGCTTATTGGGCACCCACGGTCTAGCAGATGGATGGCCCAGGACTCATCTTGCTGCGCTTGCCTCATTCTCCTCTGCGATGAAATGAAGCTGAGAAATTGAAGCAGATGAGGCGAGCTCTGTGGTTGGGGAGGGTAGTTTCAGAGGTGACATGTGAGAAAGAACCTGGGGACAAGGCGGAACCTGCTTTTTGCAAAGGGCAGCAAGGCCTGTGTCTGGGAACCTGCATGTTGGCCTAAAAGTCCTTAAAGCAGCTAAAATGCATCCTCTTAGCAGGAAGAGAGGTCGCAGATGGGTGGAAAGATGAGAAAAAAGGGAGAAGAGAGTTGAAACAGCAGGATGCTCCCCAGGATGAATAGGAAGTGTCTGATTTGTCATTGCAAAGTCATTCGAATGTGACTTTTTAATATTGAGAATTCCGCCTCTTGTCCGTGGCCACCTATATAATCCAGATCTGTACTTCCCCTTAGGAAAGCTTGGCATATTGGGCTCTCCACTCCCTCTTCTCGATCCTTAGCTACTAATGATTCTCCTAAACTGCCTTAACCTTAGGAGGGGGGTCCTGCACTCCCCAACATTGGGGTGTGGGAGGGCGTGGGATGCCTAGCTCTCACACAAAGCAATCTAGCAAACTCTCTGAGATGTTTTCTAAAGCCAAAGCAGCTCAGAGGAGTGTGTGCTGGTCTCTGGGAATACCAGAGCCAGTTCCTCTAAAAATAGCTTTCTTCCAGAGAAGCCACAGTGAGATGATTCACTGCAGATTTTCTTTGAAACCGAGCTCTTACCAATGGCATCGTTCTCCCTGCGCTCTGTCAGTTCCCTGAACTGGCTCTAGCCTCCAGCAGGGAGATTTGGGGAAGAGCCAGAGGCCCACGTGTTCCTCTGTTCTGTGGTCTTCAGACATCCTCCTGGGTCTTTAGAAGCTCTGGAGGGACCATCTGCACTAATCTCTGCCCCATCTTCTTGCATTTTTGCTCTGTGTCCCCACATGGTGTCATGCATTGTTTCATGTCTTCTGCTACAGAAAGTAAATTTATTCTGGGGAGAAATGCCATGAATGGGCTTCAACATGAAGTCATAAGTGAAAGCAACCAAGGGGAAGTAACCCCAATGTTCATCCTGCCTACCCTCAACCCCATTGTCATCTGAGGTTCAGAGACAACCACTTAATGATAGCAAATATTCCCCCTTTACACTGGTCACTAGGGGGGTTAATAGAGAGAGAGCTAAAAACACAACACAATAGACCAGCAAACAGAGCCAAAGAGAGGGAATGCTCTAGAACTCATAGACGTCAGTGATTCTGATGTCCCAGGTTTCTTAGGGACTGTCACATGGAAGGAGGGGACACGAGGTGGAATGGGCACAGGTGGTATAAAGGAGAAGCTGGTCAGGCAGCAGGATGGGATGAATCATCCTGGGTTTGAATCCCAGTTCTGCCTCTTATCTTGAGCTTGTTTCTCAGTATCTCATGCCTCTTTCACGCCCCCTCTTTGCATAATGGGGGTTGTCACTGTACCCACCCTAGAGATTTCCCACGAAGATTAAATAACATAACATGTAGAAAGTTAGCACGATGTTTGGAAGCCACTAAAAAGAATGTAAAAAGCAAAAACCTATATACACAGGTAGGTTTTTGTATGCATGTGTACATACGTGACATGACAGAATGATTTAGTCTCAAGTTCCCACACTATTCTTTATCCATTTCCTCTGTAGGCCTCTGGGCACATGCACAGAATAAGAAGAGTGACTCTGGCCCTGCATCTGCACCTCTGCTCTCTGCAGGCAGCGCCAGGCCGCCAGGCGTGCTGCAGACAGCAGGTTAGGAGCAAGGTGCCCTGGGTGAGCCCATTGCTCATCCTCGCTGTGAGCCAAGCAGATGGGCGAGTCTAGGGCTCCCTGCCTTCCCAAAGAACCACAAGAAGCAATGGTAGAGAAAGGGCAAGGCCAGAAAGGGGCTGCCCCAGAAGACTGGCCCAGGTTATAGCCTTGAAAGGAAACTTCCCCTTCAGCCCAATTCCAGGCACCAGGAACTGAACCTCTGGGCTCTGGGTTATTACCTAGTGTCCAACTGAATAACCTACGGTCGCTTGGAGGACGAATAAACATGGGATTTCCTTCCTTTAGCCTGATCTGGGCATCCGGACAAGTCCTCAAGTCAATTGAAGACTAAGAGAGATGGGAAAGAGTTAAGAAACCACAAAGGTGGCTTCTGGGGGAAGGCAGGGTAGCCTAGGGGTTAGGAACCCAGGCAGTGGAATCAGATCAACCTGGGTTCAAGTCCAGATTTTGCCATTCACTACCTGTCTGACCTTAGGCAAATTGAACTCTCACACCACAATTTCTTCTTCTGTAAAATGGGTACATTAATACTATGACTCACTTCATAGGACTGTTGCAAGGAATAATATGAACCAGTGTGAGAAGAGCACAGTGTCTGATATATAAAAAGCCCTCAATAAATGGCAGGTGTCCATCACTTCATCACCACCACCACCCCTGCAGCCAGTATTTCAACACAGCTCCAGAACCTCTTGTCCAGGTGACTTGCAGATGTGCCCCTGCACTGGCCATGCCCCTGCCAGTCTCTCTGCCATCATGACCACTTATGTATTGCTGGAAATCTATTGTGTGCGGTAGCATGTTTGCAAATGACAGATCATTAAGGAAGCACCTGAGGAACTAGGGCAAATCAATACGGAGCTCAAGTGGCTGAAATCCCCATCAGATGTTCCCATTGTTTTTGCTGGTGCAGGAAGACGCTCAGATGTTTGATTTGTATGTTTGTTTTTATGCTAGTTCTATTAAATCAGTTAGCAGCCTGAAGGTTGTTTGCCAGACAAAGAAAGACACGTGCCAGTTAAGAAAGACCTAAAGCAGCTGTTGGCTTCAGTCACACCCTTAAATGTGACAGTTTTTGCATATGTGAACACTTCTTTCGTCCTTCCTCCTGGGGTTTCTGCACTGGGGTCTGGATCTTTGCATCCTTGTTCCAGGCTGCAAGACTGGGCTCTGTGCACACAACCTTCCAGGGGCACCTGCTGCGTAGAGACGTTGTGTATACAGGCACGCACGTGTGCACGCTCCAACCTTGCTTCCTTGGCACGAGGGCCGTTTTCCCTGCAGGTGGGCTAGCAATGACTAACAGGATAGGGGTGCTTCAGCTCCCGATGGTATGCAACAAAGCTCAGGGATTGAGAGCTGGGGCTTTGGAATCAGAAGAACTTGGGTTTGAGGCCCAGCTCTGGCTCTCCCTGACTTTGTGAATTTGGGCTAGTGACTTAACCTCTCTGAGCCTCAGTTTTCTCATGTTTAAAGTGGGAGTGGTAATAACTGATGAGATCAGCCTCATGGAGGGGTAACTATTAAGTCAGACAAATCATGTAAAACTCTTAGCCCAATGCCCAACATCTGAACACGTGGTCCATCTTAGCTCTCGTGGTGGTGGCAGTGGTGGTGGTGGTGGTACATTGAAGGTACATCACGTGTTCACAACTACCCACTCCCCACCTCAGACAAATTCCGAACACCTCCTGGGGCAAGGTTAACCCCCATCGTGTCAGGGACCTGGCACCGTGAGGGGCTGGGTGTTCAGCCAGGACTCCAAGCAGCACGAGAAGCTGAGACACTGTAGATACAACCAAACCCAGAGTGAACGAGTCCAAGGAGCGCGGGCTGCAGAGCCAGGTCTCTGCTGGGTTGACAGGCTAAGCCTGGGATTCTTCTTTGTTGAGAAACCACACCTCTGCACTCTGTCCCAATGTTTTCTGTACAGTCACATCTATATTTCATCTTCCTTCAACTCCTGCATCTTGTCGTCTGAGTACCTACTGCCGCAGACACTGCATGGCGGCCCATCTCAGTGTCAGCACTGCAGTCTTAATCCCTTAAACTTCTCTGTGTCTTTGAGAAAGCCACTTTCTTCTCTGAGCCTCGGTTTCTCCATTTTCACACATCTGTAGTGGCAATGTATCCAATAGAGAGGTGTCAGGTCTGTCACTTACTAGCTCTGTCACTTTGGACAGGTTATTGGATCCCTCTGGGATTTCTCTTCCCCATCTGCAAAGTGGGGCCCGTGCAGCACACCTGGTCAGTGTAAGGAGTGGAAGATGTTAGTCAATTGGAGTCCGTAAACCATAGCTCTTCATGTTTGTTATGGCAGCAATAGACTTCAGTTCTGTGATGGGCTGTCTTGGGCTGGTCTCTGTCACCAGACTGTTAAACTCCTTGTGGCCAGAGTCACATCCCGTTCATTGATTCATTCTTCCCTTAGTCCTTGCACCGTCACTAAAATGGGGGTTGACTGGGCACTCCACGGAGAGCCCGTGGACCTCACACCCGGAGCTGCCCTGGCTCGAGTGGGCTCTTGGCCTGCAGCTGGGAGCGGCAGATGCTCTTGCCAAAGCCGACAGAACTGCTGCTGTTGCAGACAGTGGCTCTCTCCAGCGGCATCTTCCAGCCAGAATCCTTTGCCAAGGGGCCAGGTGGATCACAGGATTCCTGGACAGCAGGTGCCACCTGCCTGGCAGCCCCCGAGATCTGTGGACCTACTGCCTTGGCTGAGAAATCCCTGCTGATCTCTGTGCTCAGCTGGAAAACGGGAACGTCCTTGGAACTTCCCAGCCAAAGCAGGCTGCCTCGGGTCAACTGTCTCTGTGGGTGGCTGTGTCCAGTAGCCCACGGTCCCTGAGACCCTGTGGGAAGTTTGGTGGCTCGCCGTGAGCCAGCCAGCCAGGCCCCTGTCCAGCCTGCCTGTGACCGTGTTCCCAGTGAGGCACGCTCCCCGCCCCCCTCCGGCAGGGCACAAAGACATTGTTAACAGACCATGGCAGTCTCATTTGTAGACTCTATTCATCTGGCAGCCAAGAATGTATCTGTCCTGGTACTCCCTCTCTCCCCCGCCCGCCCTTCCCCTTCCCCGCTCCCCTGCCTTTTGCCTGGAGAGTGATTTGTCTGTGTTATGGGTCGGCCTGACAAACCCTTCCACATTAGCAGCTGAGATGTTGTTTGAAATGGGAAAATTGCTGGCAAACTGCTCCATTAGCGGTTCCAGTAACAAATACTCTGTTCCCCCAATGAAGATGAGATTGCAAAGGCACGAATTAATACGACTGTCTCCCCCACTCTGCAGCAGGGATTACTCTTCAAGATGAATGGGGCCATCCCGGCCAGAATTGCGCATCCACTAGATGTAGCCCTGCTCTCCCCCCGCCCCCCGCCACCCCACGCCCCCCCCCCACGCACACCTTTTTTGTGTGTCTTCCCAGTGGAGGGTTTGGGGAGTGGCGGTGCCAGATGAGGAGGCGATGACAAGATCTGCACCTTGGGGAGAAGGGAGATGGATGGGGATGAGATGCCGAGTCCTCAGCCTGGGCTGGGCGCCATTCATCACCTGTAATAGAGGGCCCCGCCGTCCCCCGCGTGTCTGCTTCCCGCCACACCTGTTCTTGGTGATGGGACGTCATTTGAGAGATGAAAGAATAAAGAATGGAAATGCTCGCTCACTCCCCATGGCCCCTTCTCTTCCAAGGAAGTTCTGGGCCCTGGGCCCGCAGTGTCTCTTGTTCTTTGCAGAGTAAGAGGAGAGGAAGCATTTAAGGAAAGTTATAGGAGGCTAAAACCACAGATCCCAGCCGCAGCCCAGGGGACTGGATCCGTCTGGGCCTCCAGGATGTCAGGGAGCCAGTTGGATGGACGTCAGGCCGGGAGCCTGAAGACATTAAGGCTGTTCTTCCACCATGTTCAAACAGCCCATTGAAAAGCCCAGAAATGAAGCGAGCCAGTGCCCCGCTAGCTGTGGGGCTGAGTTTGTAACCAGGTAGCAACGTGGTTCCATGACACATGAGCATGGCTGGCCCGTGGTCCATCTCTTTTAACTCTTCCTTCTCTTTAACCCTTTGACTTACCCAGCACTCTGCTTGGTTACTTCCTGCAGCTTTCTCTGAAGAAGACAGCTGCTTCCAAAGGCAGTTCACAGTAAGCAAGAATAAAAACCACTCAAGGAAAGGTCTTCCTTTCTAGCATCCTCCAAGGAGAGTTAGACCCGTGGACGGTGCCCCATGCGGCAGAGCTTGAGCTCTCTGGCTGTGACAGTGCTCGTGGGGTCTCCCATGGCCAAAACGTGCACTTTGTGATGACAGAGACGATCCTGTCCCCAAGGCCAGAGGACACAGTAACCCTCGGTGACCACTTGTTGACAGGTGAATGGTTAATTGGCTCTTCTTTGCTCTGTTTCCCAGACGTCTAGAACAGAACTCCATCAAGACCATCCCGGCAGGAGCCTTCTCCCAGTACAAGAAACTGAAGCGAATGTGAGTGTCCCCTGTGGAGAAATGAGCCCAGATGTTTTCCGTTTTTGGGGGGGGGGGATATTTCCAATGCATAGTGGGCAACCTGCCCAGGTGACAAACCACATCCATTCCTCCCAGACAGTTTAGTTCCAGACCTGGAACACTCTCCTAAGACTGGGAGGTAAGATTCAGAAGTGTCGCATGCAGATTGTGAGGTGCGTGGGCTCCAATGCATAGAGCTAAGAGCCTCTCCAACTGCAGCAAACTCAACTTACCTTAATAGCCCATATCCCCGTTTTTACTGTCCCTTGGCTTTGGTGATGGGACCTAAAATAGGGGTTTCAGCAGAGATATGGCAGTGGCCCCACAGCTGTCTACACCTCCGTCACCAGCATCCCCACAGCCACACGTACACGCATGTAGCAAATACTTTGTGAATGTCTACTGCAGCCAAGGATCCGTGGGTAGAGCAAGGAACAGAAAGAAAGTCAGCTCCCGTGGAGCTTACACTCGAGTGGCAGAACACAATCAATGAATAAATATCAGAAATCGATTGGTACTAAGAAGTGAAACCAAAAAAAAAAAAAAAGGAGGGGCAGGGGACCTGGAGTGATGGTGGGGTTGCCTCTTAGGTGGGTTTGCCGTGAAGGCCTCTGTGTGCAGGTGACGTGGATGAAGGGGCGAGCACTGAGCGCGGGGGAAGAGCGAGGGTAAAGCCCCAGGGAATGTGCATGGATGGTGCGTAGAGTAGCAAAGGGGAGGGTCTCGGGGGAGGGGGTTGGACAGGTAGGTAGAAGCTAGATCCCTTTAGACCATGGTGAGGACCTTGGTTCTTTCTAAGTAAAATAAGAAGCCTTGGGAAGTATGGTCAACATAGGACGTGACCACGATCTCCCCCAACCTCCCCGTTACCACCGTAACCCATGTCACTTCCACCACGACCTCAATCAGTACCTGGTGACACAAGCTCTGCTTGATGGCACCATGGCGTCATCGCCTGTGTCTCTGCCACCGTGACAGTGTCGCCATTCTTCCCCATCATGCCACGACCTTCAGCACTGCCCTGTGAGTCACTCAGAGCTGGGGACCGTGAAGGGAGGCCAGGAGGCTGCAGATACAGCCCAGCCACTGCCATCGTAGATAGCACAGTTCTGGAGCGAAGACTTCTTCCCTTTTTCAGGCTAAGAGATCATGTGGTATAGCCCAGTAAGCCAGATGCTGTTTTCATTCCACTTCCTTACTCTCTCTGGCCCCGCACAGAGGAAAGAGATAGAAATACACACAGGCTCGATCCTATTTCTTCCTTCCACACGAGGCTGATTCATTGGTTTCCCTTGAGTGGGAGGGCCTCTGTTACAGAGGTTAAGTGTCTGCTGATTCCCTTTATGTTAAAAATAAACATCCCTGGGAAACACTGGCATTGGTAAGCTTTACCCTTAGATCTCAGGAAGCCAACTTCCCATCTCCCTGGAAATCCAAACCAAACAAGATTTTCTCCTGGTGCAATTCCAGAAGTGGAGACCAACATAATGAGGCAGCTCTAAGCACGTACTTCTTCCGTCCCCTTGGCAGCGTTCCTGCTGGAGGAGCTGTATAAATATAGGCCTTAATATTTAAAACCTCAGGCCATTAATCTCCTGGTGTCCCCGCTTCCCAGCTCACTCTCCACGCACACCCCCCCAAATTCATTTTTAAAGCCCAGCTTGATTATGCAGCCAGATAGTAATTTCAGTGAAAAATGACAAGTTCAGTCACTGCCCCAACCTATATCTCTTGCATGATTTAAGTTACTGCTCTAATTTTTTGTGAAGTCCAGGTAATTTAGAGCTTGACTATGTTTTACTGTTCTTTCTCCATCCTATTGGATTTCCCGTGATCCGTGCATTCAAAATTCATAAGACCTTCTCAGTCACGACCTGGAAAGTGAATTTAATTTTTGATCACTTCTGATGCTACTGATATTTATTATGATGCCCTTTTTTTTTCCCCAAGGGGATGGCAATAGAGAAGAGAACTCACTCAAAAATTTTCAACTAATGGAACTTCAGAAACCTATACTAAATTGCGATAGCTTGGGAAGAGTGGGGTCCTTGGGGAGAATGGATTTCAAAACCCTAAGTGTGAATTCTTCCTACATGTACATGATCAGTTTATCCCTCATATCTAACAGGAGGAAGTTTCCCCTCACCTATGACCAAACCACATCCTGCTCTTATCTCTTAAAAAAGGAGGATTCTCTCTGAATGAATGGCTGTGTCCCTACCTATTCCTAGTGGTCACCTTAGTATTAAAAACACTCCCAGGTAAAACTAGTACAGGTTGAATGTCCCTTATCTGAAATGCTTGGGACCAGAAGTGTTTTTGGATTTTTGCAGATTTTGGAATATTTGCATATACATAATGAGATATCTTGGGGATGGGACGCAAGTCTAAACATAAATTCATTTATGTTTCATACACATAGCCTGAAGGTAATTTGATGCAATATTTTAAATATTTTGTGCACGAAACAAAGTTTTGAGTGTGTTTTGACTCTGACCTGTCACATGAGGTCAGATGTAGAATTTTCCACTTGTAACATCATATCAGCACTCAAAAAGTTTTGAATATTGGAGCATTTTGGATTCATGATGCTAAACCTGTATCAAGCTAGAGAAGCCATTTGTAGGGAGTGTAAAAGTCACTGGAGATGATCTTTTGGCCTTACAGGGCTGCTACACCGGCAGCCCTGACACCTGGGGGCCAGACCTGTGTTCGGCCAGAATGATGTGTTAAGACTCTTTTCATTTGCAAGCTCTCAGGTAGAGAAGTTTTCCACGGGCTCCGGGACTTCCTAGTCTCACACTTATAGTCCCTGCCTAACTCTTGAAGGACACTTGAATATGCCACCTCTCTTCAGAACAGTCTGGCAAAGCTACCTCTTCTTGGTCATAAGCCCTGGGGGACTAAGGTGGTCCAAAACTGACCAGATTCTAAAACACTGTGGCCTAAAGCATGACCTGGGGACCACCTGCATGGGAATCACCTAGAGATTTGTGAAATATGCATATTTCTAGCTCCCACCCCCCAGCCTACCAAATCACACCCGCTATGGGTGCATTTTAATCAACACCCTCATGATCAGGTTTGAGAACCACTGGTCAAGAGGGTTCCCAATGCCCAGAGTCAGTTCTGGGACCAGTCCACTGTGGACTGGGGGGGAGGGGGTCAGGCATGGGGGTCTCTCAGGACTATTGTTCCCTTCCTACAGAATTGAGAATTAAGCCCAAGTGTGCCAAATGATCTCGCTATATGTGACTTCTAAAAAAGTTGAACTCACAGAAGCAGAGAGTAGAACGATGGGGAGTAGAAATGAGGATCAGGGAGATATTGGTCCAAGGACACAGAATTTCAGTTAGACAAGGGGAATAAATTCAAGAGATCCATTGTACCACATGGTGACTGTAGTTGGTAGCAATGTATTGTGCACTTGGAAATCGCTAAGAGAGTGTTCTCACCACAAATAAGTATGTGAAGTCATACATTAAATAGCTTGATTTAGCCGTTCCACAATGAATACATATCTCAAAACATCGAGCTGTATATAATTTCATATATATTTGCCTTTTTAATATATATTTAATATATATTAAATATATAATATAAATATTTATGATACGTTATATATTTATAATATTATAAATATATTTAAAAGGCAAAGTGACCACCAAGGTCAATTCCCAGCTAAACTGTCACTTCTCCAATTCCTACTGTCCACCATCTCCAAACCATGAGGCAGCTCACCTCGTCCTATAGGGCGGGATGGGCCCAAAAGTCTAGTTGTGGGCTAAAAGCCAGTTTGCCCACGGAAAGCCACATAGAGCCAGAACAGAGAGCTTCCTGCTGGCCGCAGGACTGCCTCGTGACCGCTGCAGGTCCGAGCACCTCAAAGGGACAGCCCATAAGCAGGAGGCGACAGGACAAGGCGGGCCTTCACGACAGTCTGGTCCGAACAGAGCCTGCGTGCTTGCCCGCCATGCCTTGCCTAGGCAGCCGCGCCGGGGGCGAGCGAGATCAGGATAATCCGGGTATTTGCTTGTTAAGACCCTTATCCAGAAACGGAGCGCCGGAGAAAAGCCCGGCGTAAGCCGTGAGCCGCCGACGAGGTCGTGAGCGCGACCTGCGGATTTGTGGGAGGCGATTCCGCGGGCTAAAGGGATCAGCTAGACAGCCGAGCTGGGGGAGCCTCCGCCTGTGAAGCGCCTCTCAGTGCTGGGGCTTCGGAGGCAGGCAGGGGAGGGGCGGAGGTTGTCGCGTGGTCCTTTAGAAGGCTAGGAGGAGGAGGAAGGACACAGGCCGAGCCCGTTCCCGCTGCCTCTGCTGAGGAGGCCCGAGGCTGCCCTGTCTGGCCTCGCTGGAGACAACGGCCTCAGAATCTGCTTAGATGCGCTTTCCTCTCCCTATTCTCTTGTCTCTTTTTTGTTGACCCTCCAGGACCCCGGCTCTCCCTCTTCAGCACAAAAGCAAAGACCCATTGATTTATTTTGTTAAAGAAAAAGATCAGGAGAGGCTTGTTGTCACAGGAAATTGGAGTATCTCTCTTTCCAGTGACAGGAGCGCAGAGGCCATCCCTGAGCTAATGACTCTGAGAGGAAGAATCCCGCTCCGTGAAGAGCCAGAGCTGGTGGCCGGCTCTCAGGGGTCCCTGGAGTGCTCTCGAGTGGGCATCCTCGGGGCCCCCTGGGGAAGGAGTGAGGGCGAGGGTCGGAGATTTCTCTGCACCAGCCAGGACCCGCTGGAGTCCAGGGTTCTAGAACCCTTCTAGCCTGCAGCCTCCTCCTCAATGGCGTTATCCAAAGCCCTGGACATTATCCCGTCCTGGGCTCGCTCCCCCGTGAGGACCTCGGCCAGCCAGCGACAAGCCCACGTCTCAAAGGCGTCCCTTGAGAATGCCATGATGTGCTTACCTCACACGGCCCAGAGGACGCACTGAACCAGACAGGGACTTAAGTCACTGCTCAAATCCTCCTTTCAGGTCAGGGAGGAAAAGTCACTGGGGAGGCGAAATGACTCAGGACTTTCTGGGAGAAAAAATAAGCATTTGCTGAGACATGAGACAAGAAGATGATGCTTAAAGCAACCCTGGCCTGAAGGCGGTTGGGCGAGACTGGTTCCTGTTCCATTTATGCTGTTAATAGCTTGCTAATGGCCCCCGAGGCCCTGATTTAACTAGGCTCATTTTTTCACCTACAAAGGGAAGGCTCACGTGTGCCTAGCGCCACGTCCAAATCAGAATGCCGCGGTGAGTATTCTTGGACAGCCAAGAAGAGTGATACAAATGTAGTGGATTTTATCAGGAGGCAGTTGGACTAAAGTCTCTTTAGGCTCCTTCTCTTGCACTGTGAATAAATAAATTGATTGATGGATGGATTCATGTGTACCATTTTGAATGCCCGAAATGCTTTATTCACGCTTAGGAATGACCATGACGACACCTTTGAGCCCTGTTCTCAGACTTTCCCATTCATGTTTTCAGAGACATCAGCAAGAATCAGATATCGGATATTGCTCCAGATGCCTTCCAGGGCCTGAAATCACTCACATCGCTGTAAGTGGGGCCAGAGTGGGGACGGGGGCAGGGGGACGGGGTGGAAGAGGGACGAGGCCATATTTTCCAAGAGGTGTTTATCAAGGCTTTATGTTCCCTTACACACTTGTGGCAACCTGGTAAAAGAAACAAATATTTCTTCAGGGGAAATTGATCTTGGGGAATATTTCTACAACCCAAATGCATTATTTTTATTGATTAAGTGCCTAGCAGCTTTCCCAGTTATTGGCTTCTAATTCGAATGCATCTTCTGCTCTCACCTCGCTTCCCCCTCCCCTGCCCACACGCCACGGCGGGCGGCACCCTCTGCAGGGAGGACGTCAGGAGAGGATTGTGATGCGTGTTTGTAACTGATACGACATTTATGTGGCCTTGCCACGCCTGGGGCTTATTTTCTTCCCCGGATTCTCAGGTTTTTTCTCATGGCCATTGTTCTGGGAACACGTCCTCCCTGTCCTATGGCCCTTCGTTTCTTGGATTTTGAAACCCTTAAGCAGGCCATTGGGTGCAAACACCCACCAGGGGCTACGAGACCCATAGGGGCAGGAAGGGGTGGTGGAATTTTGTCCTGGTTCTGGGAGTGACTCACCCTGTGGCATGGGGCAGTCCTTTGAGCCTTCTATGCATGTTTCCCCACAGGCAAAATGGGGACAGTGATACCTTTCCTGCCTAACACACTCAGGGACGATCACACTGACAATAAAACAATAATTGGCAGCACGACTGAGCACTCACTACGCACCAGGAACTGTTCTAGGAGTCTCACGGGTTTAATTCTCACAACAACCCAAAATATAAAACCTAGTGTCATCTCTTTTACAACTGAAGAAATTAGGTAATCTAAGCTCCACAAAGACAGGAATTTTTTTATTGATTTTTATCCGTGGATTTATCCCTGGCACCATAAACTGTACCCGGCACATAGTTATTGTGTAAAAACAAACAAAAAGTCTCGTTGAATAAATAAATGTAACTTTTCCAAAGTCCGCAGTCGAAAGTGGGAAAGGCGAGATTGGGACCCAAGCTGTCTGGCTCCAGGACCCACACAATTTTGATCGATCTGTCCGTATTTTGCCTCTCTGCGCAGCCCGTCTGCCTAATTTACAAGTGGGCGGGGAGCAGGAGGCTCATCTTTCCCCCACCTGGCCCCATCCCACTGGGCGGGGGCTGAGCGCAGGGAAGTCTCTGGTGCAGCTGTTGCCTGCTGCTTGCAGAGTAAATTAGTTTCATTTATCGAAGAGAACATCTGGCTGGGATATCAAAGACAGGCCTCTGTGTGAGATTAGTGTCTGCTTCTTGTACTGAAGATCACAGAGGAGAAGGGAGAGGGCCGCTGCGACCAGGATCCTGTCTCTGCCCCCGTCCTCCCGTTCCCCTCGTCTGGCTCCCCTCAGCCGGGATCTAGCAGCAGTCTGAGCACAGTGAGCTGCTTCCTACCTTGCAGGAAAAGAAATTCAAAATCTGGCTGCCAGACATGAAATTGTCATCCCGCTGGCCAATTGTGAAATCTCTTTGGGCATTAAGTGGCGCACTGCTTACACCCCCCACCCCGTTCATTCACTCATCCATTCAGTAGATGCCTACTGTATACGCAGCAGTATTGTAGGGACTGAGAAGGTGGCGGTGAACTGGGCAGACGAGACTTTGGCCTCATGGAGCTTATCGGTGAACGCAAACACACCCAATCCCAGCTCAGGAGGGGCCAGGGTAAAGGGCTGGAAAATCTTTACCCCTTAGCTGTTTATTCATTCATTCATTCATTCATTCATTCATTCCTCCCTCCATTCAACAAATATTTACCGTGCTAGATCTTGTTCTATTCAGGGGTCTAGGGACCCAGTCATGAGTAAGCCACCTAATGTCGCCACATGTATGGAGCCTACATGCAGGGGAGCTGGGCGGGGGGCAGAAAGAATTAAAAATAAATAAATGTATAGTTAGTATAATGTGACCTGAAGATAAATGGTGTGAAGAAATAAAAATAGGTAACACATTAACTGAAATATTAAAGACAAGTCTCCCAAGGAAGAGATGTTTGAGCTCGTACGTGGAAGTCAGGGAGAAGGTAATCAAGGCAAGATCTGGGGCGGGAAGCCAGCCAGGTCTACACTCAGATGCCCCGCGAGGTGGGCACACAGGCAGGGGAGTCCCAGCCCGCTTCGGCCTGCCGGAGACTGGTCCTGTGGTCCTGAGGGGTGATGGGTGGAGTGAGGACTCCTCTGCCCCAAACCCCCCCAGCCCCTGCTCCACTAGAAGCTATGACATCAGCCGAGACGAGCAGACAGTGACATTACTACATTTGGCACAGTGAGCAGTAGGGCATTAATATGAATTACAAATGTGAGCCTGAGCCATCATGCTGACTTTTATTTAGTCATTAATTTGTTGAAACATTAATGAAACACACCCGCAGGCTGGTGGGGACGTTCACTCTTCACTCCCAGCGGTGTCTGGAAATGGGGGGGAGGGTTGGTTTATGGCTCCATTTACCATTTCCGCATCCTAATATTTTGTCTCCTCAAAGAAGGGTAACAGCCTGGATTTGCGATCCAAGTGAGAATTGGATATTGCATTCATTCAGTGCCCTTGGGGGCCCGACAGGGGACTTACACACACAAACATACACACACACATGCACACACACGCCACCCCCTCAGTTCAATTCCTGGTGCAGAGGAGGCAGGACCCAAAAGACAGCACGGTCTGAGCTGTGGGTGGGAGCAGAGTGGCCGGCAGGGCCCCCAGTGCCCTGCTGAGGACCAGCAAGGTCTGGGCACAGGCGATCCCTGGGCCCTGGGAGTGACAGCCAGTCGACATCTTCCCCAGGCCTCTCACGACGCCGAGACGAGGCCGTGATCAGGAGACACACTTGTGTGAGGGACAGGAGCGCTCTGAGTTCCTGGGCTCCTGGAATCAAAGGACAGGAAAGGGGCGGAAAGCAGCAGCCACCCTCGCTGTAACACGGAGGAGCTGCACGTTTTTCCTGAGAGCCAGTCCTTGACTCAGCAGTCCCCGAGCCACCTGGAGATGACCCTGGGTGCCCAAAGCCCCGTCTAGATGCATGATTAAAGGACTCGGCTCAGGAATTCCTCAGACGCGATGGGATATTAAAAGGAAATGTTCTATAGGCTGGGCTCAGCCTGATCAATACCCATTGGAGACAGGGCCAGCCTCCGTCGCGGCTTATTTATTGCCTGTGTGTGAGTCACGTTAGCAGCTCAGGGAGACACCACAAAAAGGGACTGAGTCTTCCTGTTGTGGATTATGCAGCAGGCTGGGCCGCCTAGGATGGTGGAGCCTGTTTCTCCCTGCCTGCCCTCCGGCCCCTGGCCACCCTGGCCTCCCTCTGCCTTGCTGGTGAGGAAAGGGACCCAGCAGGCTGGGCAAGCAGGTGTCCTGAGGTCCCACACCCAGAGCTGGCCGAAGTGACAGCCCCCTGCACAAGTGGGTCCCGGTGGTCCCACATCCACGGTGACCGCTGTCTTCTCCTCTCTTTCAGGGTGCTCTATGGGAACAAGATCACCGAGATTGCCAAGGGACTGTTTGATGGGCTGGTGTCCCTACAGCTGCTGTGAGTAGGAACTTTGTCCCTGTTTGTGTCTCTGGGACTATTTGCAGGCTCTGACCTGAAAACTTTGAGCCATGCCCTGGAGAGTTCTTTTGACTTTATGTACACCAAAAGGGAAAAAAAAATCTGAGCTGTCTACCCCTCCCCCTCCCTCTCCTCTTTGTGAAAGGAGAGCCAGGGAGCTGGCAGAGGGAGGCCAAGGTCAATGAGCGCAAACCTACATGACACAGCTCAGGCCCCTGGCCCAGGCATGAATGACTAAGCACAGGGCTGGGGCTAGAAATCAGGAAAGAGTTGACTCCCGGAGGCAAGGAGAAAATCTTGCAAAAGTGTGCAAAGAAAACATGCACACACCAGATCCCAGCGCTAAAGCGGAGACAGAGCTGCTGGTAACATGTGACCTTGAAGGGGGTGGGGGTGGGGCGTCATCATTGCAGGGAGCACAGTCACCAACGTGACTCTCTCCGGGTAAGATGTGGCTGAGGAGGGAAATGTTTACTTAATTTAAAGGAAGAGTTGTTGCCTCGAATTTTAAACTCCGGGATTATTTGTTTACATTTATTTCATTCTGGTCATTTGAGCTTAAATGTTTGAAGAAGATAATTGAACTCTGATAGAGGGAAGGAAGGAAAGGAATTCAGCTCATACCATAGTTTAAGATTTTGTGGTCAGAGGAGAGTCACATCTCTGGTGCGTGATCGGGCAGTTGTAGTGTCTACGCACACGGACTGTGGGCGTGGGAGTACATGTGTGTGTACATACGCACACGTCTGCTCCGTGACCGTCGCAGTTCCTGTGGGCATTCGGAGCTGATCTTGAGTATCCTGTGAGCAATGGGGAATACCAAGCCTCAGAGAGGGAAATGACTCGCCCTAAGTCACACAGCAAAACAGGTGCGGAAACTGGCGTAGAACGTACATGATGGTGTGGTTCAGATGACTCCCAGCCCCCCGAATAGCATATGATGTATGTTCACAGAGGTGTGCCAATGAGTGTGTTTGTGCATGCGTGTGTCTTTAAAAATCACCTCCAAGCCACAGGCAGTGAGGAAGAGGCCTGGGGCCTCCCTGCCTCCCGCTTGCAGTTCAGAGTAGCCGCGGTGTGAGTTTGCAGGGCTGGCGGTCAAGCTGGGTGTCTGAACAAATGGAAGGCACAAGAGCAAAGCGGGAGAGGGGAAAGTAGGCAACATATGCTGATGCCCAAGGGATTTAGGCGTGTTGCATTCTGCCAGGCTGGTGCAAGTGCTTTTTTTTTTTTTTTTTATAATCTGTGTGTTTGCTCGGGAGAAGGAAAATGGCTTTGCACACATTAAGGAGATGCAGAATGGGCATTAAGGTTCCTAGCACAGTGCACGGCTTGTATCAAAGATTCTATAAATGCATATTTTAAAAAAAATGTGTCCCAGCGCCAAGCTGGAAGGACTCTTCCAGAAAGAAGTGGCGAGACTTTTCCTCCAGCCCTTCCTTTGCGCGTCCTTCCTCTCTAGCCTTCCCCCGTCCTTTAAGACTCAATCCTGGACAGATTCTCCCAGAACAACATGATAACGTGAATCGTGGTGGGATGAGGAGCCCGGCAGGCTTCCAGGCAGCAGGTCCATCATCGTAGTAGCGAGGCTTATTTTAGTGAAGCCAAAAGCAAGAGAAAGGAAAATCTCTACCTTTTTCTCTCTATCTCCCCCGTCTCTGTCTCCACGTGTGTCTCACTCTGCGTGTCGCTGTGTGGGCACATCTGTGTGTTCACAGGTCCCAGCCTTCACTGGGCCTTTAAGGCTATTTGTTAGAAGGACATGCCAGGGCTCTGCAGGGAACTGGGTGTTTCACAGATGGTGTTCTTTGCTTGTAGCAAAGAAACTGTAAGTTATAACCACCACCATAAGGCTGGTTAACTGTGGCTATTAATCCCCTGAAAGAAGAGTAACAAAAGCGTCCACCTTGAGGTAGATTTAGGGGTGCTTTGTTCCACCAGGCTGGTGCGAATGTCCTTTTATGATGCGTGTTTGCGTGTGGGAAAGACAATGTCCTCGCACACATGAAAGAGACGCAGAATGTGCCTTAGAGTGCCTGGCACAGTGCATGGCATGTGTCCACGATTCTGTGAATGCATATTTTTTTAAAAAAAAAAAAGAAATGTGCTTCAGCTCTGAGCCGGCAGCCATGGTGAGGTTATTAGAACTAGACTTTGCATGGGTTTGGAAGGCGACTCCGTTTAGTAGCACCATTTTGAGCAGATGCAATGGAGTCGCTGGGATAAAAACAAAGCATCTCCCCTCTCTCGAGACCAACAGTTGACACAACTCAGGCAGCCTGACTTTCCAGAAAGAACCAGCAACCAGGGCTGGAGTGGCCGTCATTGGGGTTTGACCTGCTGTTGGGCGGTTGGAAAGCAGGTCGAGATTAGATCTCATTTAGCGTTGGGCCTGCTGCAGATTGGATTTCTCCCTGTTAGACTGGAGACACTCTGATAAGAAGGCTCTGATTAGAATACCCTGGTCGTCTGGGTAATTTCCTCTCCTTTGACTCAAAGGCTTTTTGTGAGAGGTTCGTATTTTTTCTTCTCGCTCCAGCTCTCAAATTATCGGCACAAAAGCAGAGCTGTCTCTGAGGCACACAGTGGTCCTGGACATTTCGTTTCTGCCACTTGCGATGCCGCCAGTAATAAAGTAGGGACATTGAAGTTAGGGGTCCTGCCTGCCTCTCTTCTTCCCCCGTTTCTCTGGACTTTTCAGCCATCCCACCACACTTGCCCGTTCCAGAGGGCATCCAGCCAGCTGCCCTGGGTGGTTTTCTTGGCATGTTCCTTTGGGCAAATGGCCAGAACTCTTGACCCTTCTCTGAAAAATATCTGAGTTTCTCAAAGGCTGCAGCCAGTGGGTCTATGTGGACACGTCTTCAGCAGTGCTGAGAAATGCCCACTAGACGTGACACCCGTCCTGAGCCTTACAAGAATTACCCTCTTTAGTTTAAGTTCCATAGTCTTAGAGTTCAAAGGAACTTCAGGGCCCCAAGCACAGCCTCCCACCCCTGCTGGGACAGAAACCCCTCCCACTCACTCTCTGTGACAAATCCTCCTGTCGCTCACCCGCTGATGGTTGCTGTGATAAGTCCTAACTGTGTAATTAGAAGGTTAGAAAGCTCTTTCTTATACTAAATGTCAGTAGTGGCTTCTGGGAAACTCAGAAAAGCCTGTTATCGTTGTCCTCAGATGTTGGAAATAACTGGTATATCTCCCTGTAATTAATCCTAAACAGGTTCAGTTCCTGCAGCCATTCATTGTGTAAACGCACATTCATTGTTTATCACGAGCAACCCTTACTGTCTTTGGGGACACAAAGAGAGTCTGCCTGCTCCCCTCAACGCTGGCTGCTAGTGAGTGAGTTGGGTGTCCATTTAAACACTAGGAAGTATGTTCAGAACTGAAATATCCCACATGGAGGATTCTCAAACACCTGAGAGTGAGAACAGGACGTACTACTGGGCGTGTGCTCCGATCTAGGGACGGGAACCACTGGATTACCAGAGAGGTGACCTGTCCTCCTCCTCACCGGAAGGTCAGGCCAGATGTCTTGCTCTCTCCGCTCGCTGCCCACCCGGGCTGCCGGGACGTCTGTGGAGGTGGTGGTCCTGCGTGGGCGGCCAGCCGCTGTGCCCCCAGACCCCTCGCTCGAAGCTCAGGGGTCCATCCCCCCCGGAGCAGGAAGCGCAGTCAGCGTGTAGCTAGGGGCTGTCATTTCCTTCTCTGATGGACAGCTGCAAGCTGCGCAGTTACAGCTGCCGCCCAGGGAATAAAGAGCATTCATTCGGTGCTCATCGATTGCATGGCATGCATAGGGAAGTCGCTCAAGTGGGGAGGGCAGTCATTTGAGGTGGAAGCTTTTAAACTCGCTCCAGGAGGTCTTAAACCAAACCAGACCGTCTTCGTGCTGGAATAAGTTAAGACAACTCAGGCACCTGTTGTTTAATTTTCTTGGAAGGCAGACAAGACCATTCGAGGCTCTTGGAGTTTGCCAAGCAACGTGGCAATTACAGAACAGTGAGCAAAAGTTCACTCCCTGCAGTTCACTTCCCCTCGCCAGCTGTTTCACGGGGACCCCTCAATACTCCCGCTAATAATAGCAGGTCACACTTATCGAGTGCTTAATACGCCGTCCAGGATCTGTGCTCAGCAACTTCACGTGTGTCATCGCATTTCATCTTTACAACACGAAGAGGAAGATATCGTTGAAAGGTCCGTTTTACAGATGGGGAAACTGAGGGTTAAGTGACTTGGCCATTGTCACTCAGCACGTCAGTGATGGAGCCACATTTGGAACCTAGGCAGGCTGACTCTGGAGTCCATGCCCTTAACCAAGCACACCCCTCCAGAGACTTCTGCTTCCCCCAGCCACGGACTGATCTGCAGAGCAGTTTCGTGACATGCAGGACAAGAATTCCTCGAGGGCGGAACTCAAGCCCAGGAGAAGGGGCTGCCAAAGTGTCACTCAGCTCTTCGTGTTATGCCTCACTGGAAGGTCGTGGCCGCTGTCTCCAAGGAACTTTCTCTGGTTCCTTGTCGTCACACCCCTGGGGTTTGCCCTCAGCCCCGCGGGAGGGTGACCAAGGCGCTGCTTGTCTTCAGAGACTCAGTTGAGGTGGGACAGCGAGAATCGATCCAGCAGTGGTAGCAGACTCGCATGGTGATGTGTTCTCGAGGGAGAGGTGCCTCCTTCTCTTGTGTACCTGGCACTTGCTAAGGAAAACCCTTGGGGAGACTTAAATTCTCACCCTTCCATGCCCGGTCACTGAGCAAATGGTTCATCCTCTTAAACTACGGATTAGTAATCAGGTGGCAATCAGATAGGAAAGTGACCACCCTAATAGTCATCTGAGGAAGAGAAGGGCACACCTAGCCACAATAGGTAAGGTCACTTGATCTCCCGATACCCAGGGAATGCCTCTCCCACTTGGGTCTCTCAGAATCTCAGCCTTCCTCTGACTCCCTTGGGGACCCCACCTGCTTGCACCCCG